CCAATCTACCGCTATTTCCAAAATTGCTACTTTTGCATCAGACACCCTGTATATTAAAAAATTTAAAGCTCTAAACATGAACAAAGTTTTAACTTTTTAGCAAAATGAAAATACAATACAAAAGTTCACAGTTGGGGTGCAGACATATATGCATAATAATTTTATTTAGAAAAATAAAATTAAGTGTACTGATTAAGTTACTTTAAATATGGCTTTTAATAAATGTAACAAGATAGTGGTAGTGAAAAAATATTGCTTGGGCGGAACATTTTATACAAATAAGTAGTAATGGGCATTCAAATTTGTTGTTTGAAAACTTTGAATCGATTTGATTATGTACAGATTCGAATTATTTTGAATATTATTTAAAAAAGAAAGACTCTTCTCTTTCAGAAATATTTAAATTAATCAAAATTAATGTATACAATAATAAACAATTACACGCACTTGTTTTTTCATACATATTCAGGTCTACGTTTTGAATATATATGAACAATTTTAAGTTTTTGCCATATATTCAAAGTGATTCGATATACCCCTAAAGCCCATTACTACTAATAAATAGTACTTTATAATGACAAGTTAATCGTTATGATAGTGTTAACCATAAAGGCACTTGGGTGAAAATGTGTTTTGTAAATACTTCAAAATTAGAATTATCTGTTATATTAAAACAATGTTTGATTATTGCGAATCAAACACTGGCAGTGCCAATAGTCGAGGAATGTTTGATATATTATATCCTTTTTCATAAATGCAGACTTGTCAAGTTACTAAAACAATACATATAAAACAATACTCTGGAATGTATAGTAGACTATTTTCAAAATAATACTCATAAGCTCCAGGCCTGATTGGAATGTAAGGTTCGAACGATTGGTACTGATCATGATTTCAAGACTTTGCTACTTAATATTTTCTAAAATATAACTATAAATTCATATGTTATATATATATTAGTCACGACCGAAAGGACTCGCTATACGCATTCTGAGCTTGAAGTTTTATCGCAGAAATTTAAAAATCTGCGAATAATGGAATAACATTATTGTCTTTGACTTCAGAAAGTAATAGTTTTAATAATTTCAAAATAAAAAAATTCTGAAGCACCAATATTATATGGTATTTACACTTAGTGAGTTCTTGCGAATATTTTCGTTGTCTCTCAATCGGTCGTGTCTCTCGCAAAAAGAACAAAAATTATAAATCCTCTGTATGAGAGTCCAGACGGTGAAACTCGTCAAATGATTCGGAAACTGCCAAAAAAAGCTGCCCTCAGCGAATAAGTAGTTTAACGTGACATTGTCGTGGATATGATTAGTCTGGTAATGAAATATCTGCCTTGACTAACATATTCTAGCTTACGAAAGCGTAACCGTGTCAACAATTTGTATGTCTGGCGCCTCTCATCAACGGAATCAAGATACTAGGACTTTGAGCCTGCCTGAGGAATGGATGTTGCAATAATTCAGCTGCCGTGGCCCGTTGCGCTGGGTCGCGCACGAGCATTCGCTCAAGGAAACCTTGAAGACGTGGACTAACCTGTAGATAACGAACGCTGTTAATTTTCTAAATTCAAAACCTATTATCGTCCACCGACATGACGCGAGTCCAATGTTTGTGCCAAAATTAAGGAAGAAAAACAGATTAATCTTACTTTATGAAAATTCTTTAGTTTTGGTGGTGGCATATCCCTGATGCGTCTCATAGCTTGTAGAGGTGGCTCATTGAAAAATGGCGGCTCACCGTCGATCATTTCAATGATCATTATTCCTAATGACCAGATATCCACTTCAGGTCCATATGGCAACCTATAATTAAAGATATATCGTTTAGTTGTGTATGCCAAAAATTGAAATAATGATATTTAATGTATATTAATAGAGGTTTCCAACAACTCCCAGCTCAATGTCTCTTAATATTCGGAAATTTTAAAGAGGAATGCAAGAAAGTTTTAAAAATAAATAGAACAAGTACGTTCCTCAGATATTCCGTGCACTACTCTTGATGCAATTAATTTTTCTCTATAACCGTTTGAATAATAAAACAAAAAATTTGCATTACTTTATTAAAAGAAAACCAGATAATACAAAATACCTTGAAATAACTTCGGGGCTCATCCAGTATGGGGTTCCTACGAGAGACTTTCGCTTTGGTAATTCTTGAGAGACTTGAGCACAGAAACCAAAATCTGACAGTTTTACTCTGCCGTCCGCCGTAAGTAATATTGAATCAGACTTAATATCCCTGTGTATAACACCTTGCGAGTGCAAATACGCCAGTGGCTTGAGACATTGAGAACATACTGTAGCTATCTGACTTTCGTCCATTCTTGAATACGTTACGATATCGGTTAGTGCACCTCCCTCTAGATACTCCATAACCACCCACAATTCGTCGTCCACCAAGAAACTATTATACATCTCGACTATATTTGGGTGATGGTAGTCCCTCATAATAACGACTTCGTTGAAAAGTAATTCGCGTCTTTGCTGTTTCCTCAAATCCATTTTCTTCACTGCAACTTGGCGGTTTGTACTCTTATCTGTAGCTATGCACACTGTTCCTGTACTACCCTCGCCGATCTTCAGGAAATTCTCCAAATTTTCTCTCGGATCGCCTTGGCTTACCTGAAGGTAAGCGCACATGCAGAATACATAGACATCGTATCACAAAAATTATAAAAATGAGTTCTAGACTGAGAAACTTGTTTGCTCCATGTGTCAGTATTGTAGCAATAAGAATTATAACCGGTCATATTATTCATAGAAAGAATAAGGACACTCGCTTTGAAAAGATAACATCTTTTAATTCATCAACAATATACCGTATCGTGTGATAAATGAAAGTTAAATATAAATTTTACATACCACCATCTGCAAAGCAGCCCGGAACTGTTCGTGCGTAAGTCTCTGCTCCGTTTGCTTATTGGTATTATTCGAACCTGCGCCAACTGCCAAGTTTCCTGAGGACACGGCAGTTTTCATGTTCTGATTTTGGTCTGGAGTAGAACTGGTGCCCGATACCGCGGATGGTACGCTCGGCTTTGACAAATTGTGCATCGACTGGGAAGTTTCCATCGGTTTCTTCAAATGCGACTGGAGATTAGAGTTTTCAGGCATGTACGCCTGAGAATATTTATTAATATTATGTGAACTCAATTGACTCAGAGGTCGTTGCGAGGCTATTGAACCCACTGGCGAAATTTTTGGCTGTAGCTTGTGTAACATTTGACCAGCTTGATGGTCCCTCGATGCCTCCACAGCTGAACCCTATAAATCAAATATCACTTTACAATCGTTACTTACTTTTTAAAAATATATTCTGCCTTTTTCAAAATACAACGAGCTAATATCTCGGCTCTTGCACTTTAATAAAATACAATGCGTTCAGATTCTCTCGCGTAAATTAAGTTGAGAGATTCAATTTAACGCACATAGTTTTGTCAGATTAATAAGGAGCAAAATTATATAGTAAAGTTAATTTAAAAGGCGAGATTATGTTCTTAAAGTATATAGTTGTTAAAGTCTTAACGTCATTACCTGTACATTGCCGTTATATTGGCCTGACGTCATGGCCATCTGTGAGTTTAGTCTATGAAATTCTGTATCGAGAAGTTGCGGGGTATTAGAACTTTGTACTGGAGCTTGTGAATTTACAATAGGACTTAAGTTTTGGAAATTTAAGGACAAGTTTGGTACATTTGATCCTGAGTGAGTCAAATTTGGCGAGGATTGCATATTAGGATTGAGATTTTGTAGATTTGGAATTATGTTCTGCATGCTGGAGTTGAGTCCGCTGGCGACGCTTGGGGAATTCTGTCTCAGCTTATCGATGTAATTATGCGGCTTGCCAAAGTTTGTAAAACCCTGATTAATGTTCGAAGGTATCTCTTGGCCTTCGGGGACGGATGGCGGAAGATTGCTGTTATGCCTACAAAGTGAAAGAAACAGATCATGTTATCACGTCTTATCAAAATATTTCGATAAGAATATCTGCAACAAACTCGAAGCTATCTGATCTAGCGGCCAAGTAACATTAACAAACAGAAATTTGGGTGTTTTACAGTAAAAATAAACATTTCATTTCAACGGTTTAACCGCGTCTAAATGTACATGCACGCGTTCCGGCAACACAGTGCCTCCTTCAGCACATAAAAATTACAGTAAAGAAGTCGAACGTAGGTACGCAATTTTTATAAAACGTTCAGACGATGTGTCAGGTTGTAAAGTAACGTTTCCATCGGTTCGAATTTCGATTAGTATGTGTTGTTAACATTAAAATATCTCTTGACGAGTTGGAAATTGACCATGTCAAGAAATCACACACGTCGAGAGCAAATTCAAAGTTTGGATGGTTGAAACGTCAAGAGTCACTGTTTCCATCAATCTTATATCCTCGGTTGTTTGTTCTCGACTGAGAACAACAGAAACTTAAAGTTGCCCGATTCATTTGCATCAATTATAGCTATGGTAATCCGCAAAATACATCTCTGTCAACGAAAAATGTGTTATATTTGCTACAAGATACATGTACCTTTGAATGGGCTTGTAGACAAACAACAGGGCGTATCCCGTTTGGACACGTAACGATTGGACACCGCTCGATTGAACACGCACTATTGGACACACATTATTGGACACCGAAATCATTGGACACCGCATTATTGGACACAAGTATTATTGGACACAAGTATTATTGGACACCGCATTATTGGACACTGCATTTTTGGACACCGCATTTTTGTACACCGCATTATTGGACACAAGCATTGCAAGAATATTGTGCTTTACAGAAATACGCAAACCCGATACAAAATATGTCCGATCGGGCCTGTGTCCGATCGAGTCCGTGTCCGATCGGTTATGTGTGCAATCAGGACAATCCCAATGCAGTGTCCAATCTTGCAATGCTTGTGTTCAATAATGCGGTGTCCAATAATGCTTGTGTCCGATAATACGGTATCCAATAATGCTTGTGTCCAATAATGCGGTGTCCAATGATTTTGGTGTCCAATAATGCGTGTCCAATCGAGCGGTGTCCAATCGTTACGTGTCCAATAGAAGGTCACCCCAAACAACATATACGTTTTGCGGCTACGATTCAGTTAGATCGCAATACCTGTAATCTCTCCTGAGCCGTGGCGGACTCGAGGAACGTAGAGAATTGGAACGAGCGACTGTGCTGGTCTTAGGCAGGCCATTCTCCACAGTCCTGTCGGTAGCGAGCGGTCTGCTTATCCTAGGATCATTGTGGCCCCTCACGATGGTCTTGAGGTCGAGGATCTCGGTGGGCGTGATCTCGCTCGGGTCGACTAGGGGCAGCGGTCTGTTGGTCGACTTGAGAATCTGGTTATTGCCGACGATGGAGGCCCACTGCAGCGGCAGCCCGACGAACTTGCCCTCGCGCTTGTCGAACCCGGTGTGGACTCTGTGCTCGAAGTTGGTCGGCGTGGAGATCTGCGGTTTCTTTTTCTTCCTGTTAAATATTGTCCCTGCGTTCAAAACGGCAGATTATTAGGACGGCGTGGCGCGTCATCTCGCTGGCAGTGTATCATCTAACGCGACACGAATGTGTCGTATCAGGGACAGAGGAGCACGCGATTCCGTCCGAGACGCGTGTCCACCTGTGCGCCGCGCCTGATCTCGCCGCCGCGGTCGCGAACGCGTCCGGGAAGAAACAACCGAGGATTTTACAGATCGAGAGCCCTGGCGTTCGCGATACACGCGGCAGAAATCGGGCGTACGGGTCGCGGGCGCGGAGTGAAAAGTTGTGAAAACAGCGCGGGGCGAGGGAAGCAGAGTTGACAGCAACGCCTACCGAACGACATGATCCCTGCGGCTCCGCCGAGGCTCGTCGAACTGGAATTGTCGAGGACGGGATCCCCGGGCTGCTCGGGCAGCTCGTGGTGCGTACGCGGCTCGCGAGGGTGTCGAAACATAGGCGATGTCGCACGTTAAAACACAATAAATACGCCATTCATCCACCTCGACACAGGTCGCACTCGCAACACCGGCGCACCGCGCGGCGAGCTTACGAATCTTTCGTGGCATTTAGTTCATGACAATTTGCTGAAACGTGCATGCGTCGCGCGCGCGGCGCACCTGCGCGAGCGAGAGCGAAAACGGCGGCCGCGCCGCGACGCGCGCCGGAAGCGCGAGCGGGATGGAATGCGGGAGAGAAAGTGATCGCGAGAGATCGCGCGCGATCGCGGAAAAGGAGGCGATCTCGCAGAGATCCATCGATCAAACTAACGCGCGATGTTCCAGCTCGGTGAACCCGCGCGCCGCGCCGGCAGTCGCGCGTCTCTCGATTCGGTTTAACATTGTCCGATCCCTCGTCCCGCATATTTTCCCGCTAAGGGATATTTAAAAAATTCAGCGCTTGAGGGAGTTTTAAGCGTTTAATGTTGCATTCAGTATTTAATCAAGATGCATTTAAGCCCATGGACGTAGGAAATATCTGGACGGAGCATAAAGCCTAAAGCCCGTATCAGACTACGGATTGAGATTGAGATTGGATTGAAATTTGACCAATTGGAGTAAATGTCACTAAACTTGAGATTAGTAAACTTTACTGCGATTGGTCAAATTTAAATCTAATCCGGCCTTTACCCCTGGTCCACAATCTTTAAGTAAGCTGTAAGCTTTAAGCCGTAAGAAATTAACCAATTACAAGTGATAAATATTAAAATTATGGTTATTTAATATGTATATATAAATATTTATTCGATATGTGTTTACGAATGTTTATGCTATTATATGTATGTATACAGGGTGTCCTGAAATTCGCGAATCAAAATACCATAGCAAGAAAATCGTCGAAAAAATAAATTAAAAAGTTATTTGCCATTTTTCGTTCCGAGCAGTAGTTTTTTTAGATAAAGAGGTTCAAAACAGGCTAATCATACATTACGGTTGAACGGAAACTTGTCCGTGAGTCGCGCGTCGATAGTGTTAATGCACTAACTTGAATTTCAGGACACCCTGTATTTATTATCATAGCAAATTATTATAGCAAATTTGGTTATCCGCATGAAAAATATAAGAAAGCGATGGCAAAAGAAATTTAACACCATAATGATAAAATAATATTTTTTACATTTTAATATATTATGTATGACAGGTTATGGTGTGTACTAATTCGATGTAACACATACTCGTATGTCTTAATTCACTATTAGTAATCAATATAGTGATTATTCATATATACATACATTATTTTTGCATTTTTCCAAGTGAGAAGAGTTTCCAAGAGTTTTTATTCTTTTCAAGGCGTGAAATTAGATTACATTCCGTGACTCTATCAAGTGTTGGCCATCTTGGTATCTCTCGTCCGTTACAATAGACATTTATTCCCCTCGCCCTTTGTGGACCATCCTGCGGCACTATTCTCCGTCTAGGTATTCCTACGTCCATGGTTTGGCGGAATTTTCAGCGCGAGTGCAACGCTTGGAAACAAGCATTTACCGAGTTGAACTGATTTTTCTTAAGCCCGCTGCAGACGATGCTATTTTTCCTGCTGGATTGCTTGCAATTTAGTAAATTACTAGGAATCCTGAATGCTGAGTGGTGCAATGATAGTAATTTACTAAATTGCAAACAATCCAGCAGGAAAAATAGCATCGTCTGCAGCGGGCTTTAGGTAGCAACAGCATTTCACACAAGCCTCGGAAATTTTCTTCCAACCAATCCAACGTCGGAAATTTTATTCCTTGTTCCTATTGCCTGTTGCTTGGCATTGTGTGTGGGCCTTAAGGCCTGTATCCACGATGCTAGGACTTGGTCCAAGTTCTAGTTTCGAAAAATGTGTAGCCAATCAACTTGCGGCTTTTCCATAATTATCCCAATGAAGAAATAATTTCAAGTTCGCTAGCGCTTTGATTCTTGGTTGTATAGATCTCACGTGTGAATCGCGTTAAATATCTATCTTGTTGGCTAACCGAGCATAATTAGCAAATCGCGGGAATTCAACAATCACGCGATGATATCGAACATTGCGATTATTCGTAGAAAGCGAACGCGGTTTCTTCCCACACTTGTCGCGAACGCGTATCAAGAAAAAATAATACGATCCTGTGTACGGCGTCACCTTGTACGTTTCGTCGAGCGTTGTAAACAACTAGGTCGCCGAGCGCCGGTTCCGCGAAATGACGTAGCGCCGTAAAAACACCTCGGTCAAAAACAGTTTATTCATTATTGTGCCGAGTTATTCGGCGCGGATCAGTCGAGCGAGACGGACGTTCCTCGTGTTTTCGCGTCGCTTCTCGTAACGCGATTATTTCCGACGAGAATCTCGATCGTCTCGTACGAAAATTATTAACACTTTATCAATCGCGTTTAAGCAATTGTCGCGATCCGTAATCTTATTGTTAATTTTTGCCGTAATTTGTCGAGACAAGTATCACGCGTAATTTTTCGCGTGGATTTGTGCACTTATTCCCGATACATCGCGCGAGTGAAAACGAAGTGATTTTCCAACGCGCCGTTGACTCGCGTAGTTCGTGACGTCACCACTCGTCCAATGGCCGCTGCTCGTCGAGATCGGAAGACGCGGGTGAAGTACTGTCGTTTGAACCGCCGATACGAGTGTCACGGGACGATGTGCGCGATCGTTCCTGCGTAATTAAACGACGCCACAGCCGTGCGATCGAGCTCGTCGATTCCGCGAGTGCCGTGGGACGTCGCCTTCGTCTTTCTCCAAGGATTTACCTCGTTCGTCATACAGAAAGTGACTCGCCAAATCGTGCTCGCAACCCTTTGGACGATGCATATCAAGTGAATAAATTGTGAGGAGAGCCGCGAAGGTGCGTCGGTTGCGTCGTCCAAGTGCGCATTTCCCGAGTGAACGCGTTTATTCGAGACGCGTCGCGCCGTCGACTCGACTCGCGTAGCATCGCCGTTGTAGCGCCGCGCAGTGGCCGCCGGGACCCGGCGCCATGTTGATCCGTTCGAGGAGCCCGTGGACACGCAGCGGATCGGTCTCGTGCCGGTCGCGGTGGTCGGCGTGTTTCACGCCACGTACAATCGCAGTAAGTTTACTATTGTTTACTATTGTGCCGTTCAACAATCGCGCGACGTAGACTCGACCCTCGCGCGTCGGTAATCCACCGGGACGCGTAAGTCCAGGAAATCCCGGCCGAAATGTCACGCGCGGTCGGCGTCGCTACGGCGCCGTCGTATCCTCGCGTCACGTGTACACCGAGCTCTTCAATTTTTCGTATCTCCTCGCGCGTGCAGTAATATCCGTGTTTTCCACGCGTGACGCGCGGCGAGAGAAACGTTCGCGCGAAATCGCCCCGTCGAACGCACGCATTCGGTTCCCTTTTTCGCGACGCGCGTCAAGTTAGCCTCGCGTATGCCCGCGAGTCCTTGCCCAGTGAGAAATGATTCGTCGATCGATGTCAAAATGATGTCGAATCAACATCGATACCGTCAAATTGATGTCGATTCGACATCGTTTCGACATCGATCGACGAATCATTTCTCACTGAGTTGCCGCCAACACGTTCCCGCTCAGCGAGAAATGACTCGTCCATCGATGTCGATCGACGAATTATTTCTCATTAGGCATCATTTCGCACGACGCCATCGCGTCAGATGCGCTTCGTATTCTCGCGCACAATTGCGTCTCTCGCTCTCTCGTTCTCGTTACAACAAAGTCCACGTCGATTAACACCGGGAGTGTCGTGTCGTGCGTTGCTTCGATAATTAGCGCGCGCGATCGTAATTAGCTCCTCTTTCGCGAGTGTAGTGTTGTGCCAGTGTGAAATGGAGGAGTCTGAGAGGAAGTGGCGGCCTGGGAGGCATCGGGCGACGGCGGCGGAGCAACTCTTTGGTGAGTACAATTATTTATGCTCTGGGAAAAAAGAGACAGTTATAACCC